GTGGCAATCGACCGGATTCTGCCGTGGCGATAAGCTCTCGTAATATACACCTGCGAGAATTTCGCGCGCACAACTTACGTACACGCGAGCGGTTTTCCGTTATCTATCATATCGTTCGGTGATGCGTTCGTGAGAATACCGTGGCTCAACGCTGCTGGCCGCCGTCGTTATGACGGAAAAACGGTTTCGTCCGCACGCTAACATGACCTTTTTTTGCGCGCGATTTGCATGGTCGGAACGCCAGAAGAAGGTCCGCGGATCGTCGGTCTGCTGCCCGAGTACAACGTCGGCGAGACGGTGAACGCCAACTGCACGTCGAGCAAGATGAAGAGCTACGCGCAACTCGTTTGGTATATAAACGAGGAACAGGTAAACCATCGGATGACGACAGATCGTAACAGTTGCATGACATTCGTGTGAAATAATTATGGCGCGTTGACTTGTGCACGATGATATTTTTTTTTTATTTTAACGCACCATGGTTCAATTTTAACAGAGGATTTGTTCGGACTTCTCTATTTTTCAGAAACCATTCTTGTCTCCAAGATCTGATTAAACACCTTTTGGGCCCCTGGGCTGAAATTTTATATGGACCCTTTTGATAAAACTTTCTTTACAAAGCTGCTCGCTTCGCTCGCAGAACGATACATTTTTTTTAATTATTTCACAAATTGTCATTTGAATTTTAAAATTATAAAATGAATAAGTATATACAATTTATGTCTATAAAACTACTAATTTTAGTATGATAAAAAATATGTATCGGCTTAAAATTGTTTGGGCCCCTTTCACTTAGGTATTCGGAAGGGCCTCGGCGCTACCATTCCGGCTAGATCCCCCCTTAATCCGGCCTTGCTTATCTCACTGACGTTCAGGTCAAAAACTTTTATTTTTGTCACAATTTTTAACCGTAATAACTTTTTTTTGGCGCACTATATATATATATATAATTTGATATCATATTTCGAAACAGATTTTTTTTTTTTTTTAATATCTATGCTAAATCACTATCAAATCGTTAGATCGAACATAGCTCATTCATCGGTATATTATAAGTGGATAATACAAGTAAAGAAGTTCACTGGAATTTTGTAGGGTAACCTCTAGCTGTCATCCGCTTCGTTCATATAAACTTTTTGCAAATACTTGTAAGCGATTAAATACTATACAATTTAAGGCGGGATTTTATTATCCATCTATATTTTCAAAAATAAATTGAATTAAAAACATAGCATAATTCCCATTTGAGGAAATTAAGATTATTTTTACGGTTAAAATTAGTAAATGAATATTTTTATTTACTTTTTTTTTTTTATTCAGATGAGTACACGATTTCCGAAAATTAGAATTTCATTTAATATACCATTTAAATTTTAAAGAGTATAGTTACTGGGTAAGATACTTAAAATCTCTACGCATTCTGTTTGCCAATATGTGTATAAATGTACCATATAAACCTTAGGCGAGTGCGTGGTATTAACGGAATGAAATCGATGTTCGTGAGTTGTATCGAAGGACTGAAAAATGTAAAATAAAGAAAATAAAAAAGGAAAAGAGAGATGAGACTGTGAGACGTCAAATATTATTGTCAGGGGAACAATGTATTAACTCAAAAATAATGTTGTTCGATTTTTATTATCTCAACAATGAATATTCATTTGCAAGGATATACTTTTCCTTACAGTATAGATATATTTTTGTTTATTTATTGTATTCTCGTAGTATCTATATATATATTTTACACACAGTATTCTAATAACTTAAAACAAAAAGCTTAACTTTGACTTCTCTTCGTGTAGGCGTACTACGTAAGCACTATCTATAGTTTGTTAGCGAGCTTACCGGAAAAATAATATTTTTATTTTTTTTTTTAATTTAACTCTTAATAAGCGTTTAACAATTTTATATAAGTAATTTTCGAAAGTCACGCTGAATAATACTTTCGGTTCATAAAGTAATCATCGATTCAACAATGTTGCTTAGCTTTCTTAGCTTAAAAATCACAAAATATACACATAGCATTTATTTACTTTAAAATAAAGGTTGTTATGTAATCATTTATTTCCATATGTACAAGCTCTTTAATAGGTTATTTTGAAATGTTATAATACAAATTACTATGTTTTGTATAAAATAAACATTTATTAAAGTATACATGATGTTCTAGGGAAGTGGGCAAAAATATAGCCAACCCATACCATTTTTATATATATTTATTATATACATATAATATAAATTATACATACGGATTATTGGTATAAATGTATAATAATATTTATGTATTAATAATATTAACACACTTTAACATCAATTTTTTGAAAAAAGATAAAAAATGTATTGACTTATAAAATTAATCTTATAATAATTATATCGGTCTTGCGTGACTGAGACATAGAGTATGATAATATAATATCCGTGGTTAAAACGGAAAAATATTTTGCTATCAAGTCATAAGTTCGGAAATTTTCAGACAAGTGATGTTGGACCAACAATATAATAAATTCAAAAAAAACCAAATCTCGAGGGGGTGGCGATCCACCTATTACCTTTCCTTATAACCACCACTGCACGAAAGTCGAACAGAATAAGTACTACATCGTTATTTTCGACCGAGATATTCAACGAATAGTTAGAACAGATTTTCATTTGATTTCATTTGAAAAAGCTGTCAGTTATACTAATATACTATATATATTAATAATTTTAAATTAAATTTTACATTATTTTTAATAAACATAACATTCCATATGAAAAACCGAGGGTAGAGTAGCCCGTTTGGACGGTCGCGTTAGAACCAAATGGTTTTTGTTGCAAACAGTTATGAATACTATTTGATGATTATTACTGTTATTAATATAATAGTAATATACAGACTAGTACTAGTTTAGACATTTATTATGACAGTATAGATATCTAGATTTAAAGTATTTCTTCTCATCTCGTTTTTATAAAATAAATTGTTTACTAATTTTTTATTTTTCGTTACTTTGATTTAACTATCAGTAAGTAAAATTATTCATTTCAGCCACTATTGTAGTGAATGACCGATAAAAGAATTCAAAAAAAATTGTTAAAACGTATTAGGATATATAGGGAGAAGGATTATTGAAAGTAAATTCCGGTGCATATTATATATTTATATTATTACATTAATACCGTGATTACCAACCGTGAAAATTCCTATGAACTTTCATTGATCAAGACACTTATTCGTAATTATTATATTACTTGTTGAATGGTTTGATGTATTCATAATATCATCCAATTGATTTGAATAATATCTCTTTAAGAGAAATTTAAATCATAGCCTGTAAACAATAACCTTGAAGATTGAGATAATTTCTAAGTACAGTAATGTCGTCGTTTATAAAATTCATGGATATAGGATTCAGTCTTTTATTCGGTGGGTTGGATAAAAGTTTATTTATTATAACCAGTATTGCCATAATCAAGATTTGTTATGTACGAAAATATTTTATATCCTTCTTCCCCTCTCATGAGAAAATCTTAGATTCGGCCCTACTCTTATTAGACACAAAATCGACTGGAACAAATGCAAATACATAAAAAAATCAATTATGATACTTCAATTTTGAAAAAAAAAAATATTTTATATTAGTGGTAACATTTTGAATATTTTGAAATAAACTAATTTTTACAAATCATTTATGTTGCAGTGGCTTCGGTTCACATCATATCGCACTTGACGCAATTATTATTATTGTAATATTTTACACTACAATAATAATAATTGTACAAAACTCATCTCATAAACCTAATTTAATTTGTTAATCATCTATTCTTAACATACTCTATATTTCATATTATATAACTTTGCAACACACAACTAATATGTAAATATTGTAAATATATAAGATGCTCAATGTTTTTATATATCCGTACCTAACCAAATATCTATAATATGTATTGTAATGTGTCGTCCAATGGCCATAGTTGCCGCGGATTTTTTTAAATAAAAAAAAATAAAAAATAAAAAATAATAATTGCGATACATATATAAAAAAACGTTTAAGAAACGATAGGTTTGTCGATTTTCTGACCTTACTAAGATTGACAGATAAAAGTATAGTACGGTGTTGTTTCTCAACAAGTTGATGGCTGACAAACATAACCATACAATATGAATAGTGGATGGTTAATTTGTTGATAATTTTGTTCTTCAACAAATTGACAAACCCATCGTTTAGTATGTGGGGGCTCAAGATATAAACACACTGCCGATTACTTGGCCCAGCTATTGCAATTACGAACAATATAACTCCGGAATAGTTGAAAATAATTAAGTTAGCAATTAATTCTAATGTTTGTTTGTTTTCCCACCGCTTCGGCTATAAGATCATTCAGTTATAATGCTCACTTTGTGCCGATACCAAAATGAGTTTAATAAGCAGCATCTACTGTATTAATAGAGTTCAACGATATAAAACCTATTTATTAAAACATCGTATTTCGACTCAGTGTTGAAATTGGCATTAAACGAAATACAGTTTTTAATAAAACTATGTAAAAACCTATTTAAACCATAACCAATTGCTGCTGTTATATTTAAAAATTATTTTCAGACTATCCCTATAACACCTCCATCATTCATTAAGATATTATGATGCAACAGCTCTATAATAGTTTATTAATTAATAATACAAATTTACCGCGTTATTTATTTATAAAAAAATTCATAAAAGTCTATCCTTACAATAAAAATGTAAATATTAGCTGTACATTTTCGACCCTATGCCATATAACATGTCATATATTAGGTTATAAGTCATTATAAAAAAAACGTATTAGTTATTAAAAATACGAAAAATAAATTAATGTTTGAAAACTATTGTAATAATAATCAGGTTTATTTTTACGTTAAGTACTATTTTTTTCCCCGTCAAATGAATTGAAAATATTCAACGCCGTAAATCATGTTACGTTAAATAATAGGCTTACAATTTTATTAATTTACCTTACATTACCTACATGATATTTATGATAAGATTATTGGTTATTAGTATAATTTTTGAATATATTTTTGAATACTCGAAGAGTGATTCATAAAAAATTAGCTTTTTTTTATTTTCCTCCCATCTTAGATTTATATACATTATTTTTGTTATTATTTATTTTTTTTCCCGAACTTTCGTCTTTTTGACCATAAATTAATTTGTTAAGTTTCCAAAAATAATCTCTACGTCGTACGATGCACATAAAATACCTATATATCAATGTCATTCAACCTATTTTGGCTTATTGTAAATCCTAAAAAGTTCGTATGCCTTCTGATATATAGTACCGAATACGAGCTTTCGGTTGTCTGCAAAACGGGAATCCTTGAAATAATTTTACCGAATGCAGTCCATAACATTTCACGAAGTAGCTTATCGGATCGTAATAACTTGATGGCATCGTATATTATTGTGTCCAGTTAATCAAAATTAGTTTCGACTTCCAAGAAACATATTATTATATCCCATTGTAAACATTAATTTGTTTCCATCAAAATCGGCGCCAATAAATGGAATGCTATCCGTAAAACAGTCTCTTCTGGTTATAAAATATATTTCATGTAAAGAGAGATAATAATCGGTGACACTTTATGAAAATCTTTCATTTAATAGCATTGCTTTGATTTCCAAACGTTCATAAAACAACGATTTATATTCTTGATTACTCGATAACGTTTTGATATTCTTTTTTAATTTTTTATTTTTCCTCTTATTTTATTTGGTTGATTCGAGTTCTGTTGACGGAATTCGTTTTTAATCGCATGCCATAAATCATTGAAACCAGTATTATCTCTTTGTTTTGTAACCCACTCGATGGTATATTATTTAGGTTGAGGCTTCTACTATAGCTCCTGGAAATCAAAGCAGTTATACTACTGAACACACGCACACACGCACATACATATACAAGTGTACAATACACACCACTATATGAAGTCCTGAGTCGAGTGTTCAAATATATTTATCACCGCTGAAGAAATAGAAAGATAAAACTATATAGAGTGACGGTGCAGACGGTTTATATTCACGATTGTTCTCGAAATCTGTACAGTGCTCTGCAAGCGAAACTAGAACAAAAATCATTTTGTTAGTTATTTCAATTGTTTACACAAGACGGCGTTTTCAATGTTTGCGCTTTACGGTTTTATATTAAATCTAAAAATACAAAAAATCAATCGTTTGTGAAATTTAAATACAATTATTATTCTGTTATCGAATTTAAATACCAAATAATGTTCCTTTGCAAATAGAAAATTATGTACACTTTCAAGTCGGTGAAAGATTCGCATTATAGGTCCTCGCGTGATCATATTATTGAACAGTGGCTACACGGGATAAGATCAGTACATTCTATAGTATTGATAATCTGATAAACTTCCCGCAGTGGTTTTCCGATTTTCTTGAAAACTGACTTCATTGAAGTTCGTCACTTATGAAGCTTCTTATATCGATATTTTTTTCGTATACATTAAACAACCATGGTTGCAGATTTGTAATTTTATAAAAATAAAATAAAAAACTGCACTGCAGACCGAAACACACATTATAAGTGTTTTAAAAGTATTTTTAATCTTGACACTCTTTTTGTGTTAAAAATCTGCCCAGGGTTCCAATAGTTAGTTCATTTTTATAACCTGAATAATAGCGCATGAAATGTTCATAATATCTATATTAATTACAAATTAATTATAGGAATAGGATATAAAAACGTGAATCGTCATTATGCATTCACAAATTCGAACGTTGTCAATTACATAATACGACCAAGATCAAAACTAATTATTAAACGATTGATGATACAACCGCAAAAGGTATACGTACACGAATTTAATGTATGACGTATATCACCATTAACAATAACCATACAAAACCACAATTATTATAAAACCGACATTTCTACCAACTCAGCAATTTCTGTATAGCATTAATGACGGACGACAATCGGCCCCGGAGAGAGAATGGATCGATTATTATCGGATTATCGGTGCTTTTTTGTTATTTTACCGTCTCAGCTTTACATTGTATCGACGGAACGAATAAGAAAACTTTAACAACGTTTTTGAAATATTGGAGCAGTGTTAATGCGTTCATCAAAGGATGACTTTTAATGTTATGATTTGGTTCTACTGCGCGTATACAAAAAAATCTCATATAGGCGCTTTTATAAATATAATATATAATATGTTGTAATTAGTCGAACTAAATAAAACCGAATACTTAGTGCTTGGTTCGGTTCATAATTCGAACTCAAAATGAAAGAAAATCGAACCGAACTATTTACCATTTAGGTTTGAACTTGAACGTATTCGTAATCAAACAAAAATTAAATACAATTTTAAATAAACTTTCTATACTTAGTTTATACTCTAGTTTATAGTAAGTATCATATTAGTATTAATTTTTTTTTTTTTATATCATTACAATTACTTGTAAGTATGATAAAATAAAATAATTCCATGTTAAAGCATTTGATTATTTTTGTAAATATCTAGGTAATATTATCGCCCCAACACTGTACAATCTCTATACCGCTGACATACCTCATTCCACCCTCACCAATCTAGCCACTTTTGCAGATGATACTTGTATAAGTTCTTCTGACCAAGACATTAATGTTGCCATCGACAATCTTCAAAATAACTTAAATTTATTACAAATATGGTTCAATCAATGGAGAATAAAAATAAATGAAAACAAATCATCACACATCACATTCACTTTGCGCCCTAATATCAGCCCCTCCACTAACTTTAAATAACAATATAATTCCCTTTGTCAACTCCGTCAAATACTTAGGTATTCATCTTGACAAACGACTAACTTGGGCTACTCACATCAAAACTAAAAAAATATCCCTAAAATTAAAACTCCATAGCTTAAGACACCTTCTTCGCTCCAACATCCCACTCAACAATAAAACTCTTATCTACAAACAACTTATTCGTCCTGCAATAACTTATGGCATCCAAATATGGGGATCAACCAAAGTTTCAAATCTAAAATTGTTACAATCCTTCCAATCAATAAATTTACGTTTTTTGACCCAAGCTCCATGGTAAGTTAGCAACAACACCCTTCACAACGACCTCGAAATTCCCTATCTCTCTGCTTTTGCTTCCACTCACTATAAAAAATTTCACGCCAACACATAAGTTCGTTCAAATCCACTTATATCTAATCTCTCTTCTCTAACTATCCCGGATAATCCACCCCGACGCTTAAAGCATAATTGGCCACGCAACCTCCTAAACAAATAAAAAAATACTAAAAAAAAAAAAAAAAGTTGAAGTAGCGTTACTGGATGCCCCCTTCATTCAAGCCGTCAAGCCCTGTACATTTTTGTTATTAGATTGTTGATTTGTCTATACAGATTGTATATATTCGTTTTCTAAAATAAAAAGGTAATATTATCATAGATTATTTTTCACATGATGTGTGATATGTGATCAAAATCACAAATCTATTTTTGGAAAAGTGAAAAGGAAAAATATAAATGTTATTAGTACTCTATATTTTTAAAAATGTTATCAGAAATAATAGTATTGGATAGTAATAAATAATTATTATAATTTATTATATATTTTTAGGTGTATTAAATTTTGTACAATGTAAGTAAAAGTTTCATAATTTCAATATATTTATAAATGGAAAAAAAATTATGAGTTCCAATTTTAGTTCGAAAAAATATTAATAGTTCGGTTCGGGTTCGTAATATTTTGACAATGTTTGGTTCGATATCGGTTCAACACCGAAAAATCAGATTCCACCCATCACTTATAATATGTAATTTATTTAAGATGGACAAATCTAAAATGCCAATTCAAGTTTACACGTGGACCACCACGCGTAAATTTTGGAGAAAAAAATACCAAGGTCAAATGAATTTTAATTTGTATCCAACTAAAGTTTGTAGTAGGTGGTGAAAATCGTGCATAAAAACACAAACAAAAATAAAATAGAAAATAAGTTATGTCATGTATTTTTGATGGACAATTGATGTACGATTAAAGCAGTATATTTAACATTATTTGTTTTTCTTAAATAATTCTCAACGTTGAATTTGTTTAGGCTAATTCGACGGTCTTGCAAGGACCGTACTTCAAGGTGCACCACCCGGGGAGTAATGAACAATTGGTGACAACTGTACTTGGGCTTAGCTTCAAAGTGACTGACAGTCACTTTAAGAGCGGTCATACATACCTGAAATGTGCGGCTCAGCTGACATCGGTTTATTTACACTCGGATAAACAAATTGTAAAATTCACCAAACGGCCTCCTACCGAATCAATAATTTCTAACACAGTTCAGCTGGCCAATAAAATACAAGGTAAATACCAATTCTAAACATGTATAAAATCGAGTAGTTTGTCTATCTATGTAATATGTATTGAAACATAGATGACAGTTGTTTTTTCTTTTCGATAAATAATTTATAAATTAAAAACAAATAACTATAGTTCAACACATTTGTATTCAATCAGCTAATTTCGGAAGTTCTATGTAAAATCGAAATAGATTTTATGACTTTATTTTGTTCCTAACACTACATATAGAATAAGTAGCGGTTTTGATTTTGTTTTTAAATCATAATGTTGTTAGTGTAATATAAATAATGTGTAACATGTTAAATTTAAAAAACAAATTCAAAGTATATAAATTTAAATATTATTCCTATAATATACTGATTTGATTAAAACACCCGTAGCTACGGATATTTGTGATCACCGTTAAACCAATACAACAAAACAAACGAAATTAATGTTTAGAAGAGTTTTTAATGAATTTCTGGTAAAGACACTTGAACACAGTTATTTCAAATGTTCTTTTGAGTATATATAAATGTATACTGTTTATATATGTAAATAAGAAGTTTTTTTAGACTGTATAATATGTACATATTCAAGCTCGAAAATAATTTAGTCTGAAGCCTTTAGCACAATCTAACCGAATCATTTAATTTCCACCTAGTTTGTATTTTGAACATTTTAAAAACAAATTTCAACTCTTAATGAATAAACAAACTGTCGCTCATAGAGTATTTTCATTATATAACCGATAAAAATTGTATATTCCTTTTTTCCTTTTTTTTTTTTTTTGCAATTATATCAAATATAGCACAAAATCTAAACTTCTTAATCCATTATTATAATATAATATTTGATATAAATAAATAAAAAAATTTGTAGGCTGCAAAAAATAAAAATAAAGGAAATAATCAGGCTCATACTGCATGTCGTCTTCTTCATCATCTTTTTAATCATTTATTTTTTTTTTCGGAACTCTTTGATTTTAGATTTTGAAAGACTTTAAATTTATTGAAAACCCTAAAATATGTCAAAATACCTTTTAAATTACATTTTGTATAAGAAAAAAATAAGAATCCCTCGCCTAGAATCTATTTTTTGATATGAAAAATTATTTATAATAATACAAAAAAAAATAAAGAATCTAAGTAAAACCTTTATAATTTTTATAGTGTGTTCAGAATCCAAATGGCGGATGTGTATGAATTATTTTACGATAGAATATAATTCATACTAGCCTTAGTTTAATGTCCATAAATAAAATATAATACAACAATGTCATATAATTATTATCCAATCATTTTTAGTTAAAATTAACATCCATTTAGGCTTCATTGACATAGTTCGTAAAAGCATAATATATAAATAAATAAAAAAAATTTACAAGCACTATTGTTAATGATGTTTTGCTGCATAAAGTAGAGAAAAAAAATTCATGAAAATAGAAAATTCACCATGACATCATTTTCAATACATTTTCCTCGAATTTCCCTTTCTCTTCTTCATGAAATTGTCGATTAAACTGAATTTTCGAAAATTTTGTGTACGTGGTTACAAATGCAGGTGGCATCTTTCTTTGGGGAAAGAATTCAAAAACTAGTACCCCGTTATGATGAGTGTCTAAATAATGGTAGTAATTGTGTTGAAAAATAGTGTAGTACTTGTACTTTAATTACTTTTTATTTAAATAAAATTTCTTTTTCAATTTAGACTTGTTCATGTTTTTATTGTCAAATGGAACTTACTTTCTGGACATACCTTGTACAACACTGGTTACGGTTGATCATGCGATGAGTGACAAACGTTTAAGAAATTGTACTGATAACCATTTGGCGGACTGATTACTAATTCATTGCTAAACCATTGCTAATCAACTTGCTGATTGTGATTTATGATCTGTTTCATCATACATATATTCTTATTTGAGCTTTTCTCATATTGGCCAAGTTTTAGTTTTGCTATATTAATTAATTTGTTTTATTTATTATTTATTAACGCCAATTAGGACAAAGAGTGTACATAATGTTATGTAATACAAAATAAATTAACAGTAAATATAGAATTTTAAGAACCTTAATTATGGAATATGAAAAACAGTAATTATTTAAGATTAAAATGAATTAATGATTGTTATTTACTGGTAGTCTCATAGGCGGGTCTAGACTTAAAATAAATAAAAATCAACTAATTAGGTGAATGAAAGAGGAAAATTCCCCTGATAAACTTTTATTACCTTTCAATAATAGACAATATAAAATAATAATTAATTCTGTACACGGTCTTTAATTTAGTTTTCATATTCATATCAGTTTATTAACATCAAACACTCCAAAAAAGTGTATGTAATCATTTTGTTGATAATTTTCTTATTTCATTCTTCTAAATAGAATTATTGCAACAGAATCAAATGGAACTCGTTTGCATGTATAATCTTATATTTATTATGTTCAATATATCTACGGCTAATATTTTGGAGACATTTACTCTATGTCATGACTTGTGATTCATCTCACTGAATACAGTGGTGAATTTATGGGTAGGGGAAGTCCTAACCGTTGTGCGTATCGAACATTTTTCGTAGTGTTTTAAGTTACTTAAGTATCACCATGTATACAGTATTGTGTATAGTGTAATTATACATTTAATTAATCAAAATAATTATTATATAATATATAATATATTATAATATAATATATTTATATTAATTAAATAAACAATTTTTGCTAAACACAAGTACTTGCACATAACACAACTGATTTCCCTGAACATTAATACCCCAAATTATTAATTTGATTTTATCCCGATATCATGATGTATGATCATTATTAATAAAATAGCATCCACCATGAAAAATACTAGATCCACCACTGGCGTGTGTATACATGTGTTATAATATGGTCGTCGGAAGGAGGATTAACGTTGTTATAATTGGATGAGAATGATTTAAATATTATGAAAAAAAATTTATATATATATATATATATTAAAAAAAAAAAACTTGTACCCCAACCGAAAATTAACGTATTCGGAAACGATAGATTAATTTGTGTTTTGTACCAATAGTACATTTATTATTAATATGGATTTTAATTTGGACGTCACGAAATAATTGACCATGTGATAAGTCATGTTTGAACATCATCTATTTTGATCGCGTTGCACCGTACCGTGACTTTTTTTTATAATTATTATCAACACTATATGATATTTACATATTCATATAGAGCGGTTTGTAGTAACAAGCGTAATAATACAATATAGTAACGGTATTTCTACAGCATAATAAATTATCATTAATAAGTAAATAAATATAACGCAGATTTCAGATGTTTGTTAAAAATTATTTTAAAATTTTCAACGATCCTGTTCGAAATCTGAAATGATAACATTTTGAAATAAAATATCGATGTGTATACAATGTTGGAAAAAAAATAATAATATCATGAAAACGCGTAGATTTTTATGCAGAATATTACCCAATGGAGTTACCCAAACCAACCTCAAACTTTCAATTTTATTTACTAGATTTCTCTAAACAAATGTCCGGTCAACTTTGACCATACCTGCACGGCGAGTATTTACGTCTCGGAGGATGCCTGAATTTTAAATACTAAATCATACGAGTATATATATATATATATATATATACATGAACGTGTTCGGAATTATTATTAATATATTATTATATGTGGTTTATCCATAACGTTTTTAAAAAAATTCTAAATGTGTCTTTAACAATGCACGTTCATTTGATGTACATTAAGACAGTGTAACTAGAACGATCAGTAGAAAAATTTAATCGAGAAAAATCATGGAGAGGAGAAAAATATTTAATTATTTTCCTTTTAATTGACCAGAAAAATGACCAAAATTAATTATTAACCGGGTGCGCTGAAAATAGTAATAAGTATTTAATTAGTATTGACGTTGACATATTGAGGGTATCTGTGCATATTATATCACAGGAAGTTTCATATTATTAGGGTATGTCTACAGTGGCCAATAAAATATAGAAACATATAATTTTCAATTTTTGCCAATCCCAATACATTATATCTATACGCGCACAGTATAATGGTTGAGCGTCGTAAAATAATATAAATAATACAAATAAAATATTATATACCTGCAAATACTTATATAATTTTCTGACTTCATACAAATTTTCTTGGGAACTTGGAAAAAAATAATAATTTTTCTTTCCCGGCAAAATGCCAAAGCGTTAAAACTATAAATCAAATAGTATATTAAATTAAAATTGATATTATACTTAATAAACTTGAATTTTATTATTAATATTCTGGTAAAAATAATTAAAGTATAAATAGTTGGTAAAATATTCTTCCACGTAACAAACGAAACAATTGACAGGTAAAAAACGATGAAAAAAAAAATCGTCTGACAAGCATTCAATAAATTTTAGTTGTAACCGAAATACATGGTATAATGTGTATCATGTAAATGACAACGTATAATTTTCCGACATTTTTTACGGACCCTGATGTCCCGTAATTATAAAATATATAATATACTTATTTTTTACATTTTCTGCAATTTAATTTTTAAGTGATTATGGTCATAACATTATTTTCGGTGAGGTCCTTTCATTCAAAATAATTCCATTGTTTTTATTCAAATTTAGTAATTTGTAATAAATATTAATTAAAATAGTATAGTTTATTTGTTCAGTGTAGTATAGTCGCATTCGATTGATAAAACAATAATTTATGTTTGTAAGACAAAGATTATAAAACATATTGTTACCCCTTTCAACTCGTGGCCCGGGGCTATAACCCCTCCCCCTTAATCCAGCCCTGAGCTGTTACGATAAAAGTGAAACTTATACGACGTTCATAAGATCGTGGATCATACATAGTGTCAGCATTAAGGCGGGTCTACACAGGACGTGTGCCTCGATCGTATTTCACGGTCTTTATAGTGTCGACTCACGAGCGTGGTTCCAATAAGCACCGTACGAATCGTGGATGTGTTCATTCGTGAACACAACTTTTATTCAATAAGA